CAATGCCGTCCTTCAAGAATGCCATCCAAATTATATTACCATAGAAACGCTTTATGATTTTTAGGACTTTAGGAAAAAATTCAAACAAATTTTCATGTTTCTTTTAATTGTCTCTAAAACGGTATGGAAATTTGGAAAAGTACAAACGGAATTAACCATTCTAGAACAAGCAAACATTTTTATGAAAAATGCTTTTTTCTCAAAATGTCAATTAAAAAAAGTTTTTCCTCTTGTAAAAACAATCCGGGGACATACTGTATATATTTTTTTATAAAACGAAAGTTCTAAATTAAAAGTATAAACTTTGTTGTCTTCATGTATTCGACTGCAAATAATATTTATAAGTTGTAAGTAGTGATATTTATAAGTTTTTAAATTATGGTGAGTAGATTATTGTTCACGATGTAAACAGTTGTCTATTCTATGAAACAATTTTTAAATTGTAAACATTGACATAATAATATTAAATATTTTAAATTTAGTATATTCAGATTTACTTATTATCTAGTTACGTTTAATTCAACATTTTAAATAATAATTTAATATACAGAATTTATACAAAATCTGGGTTTCCTTCTTATACCGTGTGGAGCATCGGAACGCGGGACAGGAAATACCATAAATTTTGAAAATGTCAGATATTGTCTCCCCAGATAATGGGCTCTTTCACAAAAAATAAAATACCCAATTCAAGAACAAAATCTGAAAAAGAAGACTATTTTCAGTATATTTATCAAAAAAACCTAGTTCCATGACATTGAATAATTTTGTTATAGGCCCTCAAAATTGCTTTAATTTGAAATTATTTTAAAGCGCCAATTGATGACGTATGAAAAATATGCCCAATCACATTGTAGAACCGTGCTCGTGCGCCAGCCAACAACTGGCAACATTGCGATTTGATTTGACCAGCACCACCTCAACTCAAGGCCAATCAACATGATATGGGCAAGGCAAATATGGCGGCGAAGGCAGCGCATTATTAAATTGTTTACTTTAAACTGAAAAGCCGGTAGTGGTTTCTCGTTCCGATTGCATACCAGAAATAATTAATTATCTCTAGTTTGTTGTACTTCTGCAGCACGTTTGTTTAGTTCTTAGTGTTCAGTGCATGGTGTGATCAGAAAATTGTGAAAAAATAACAGTGTAATAAAAATCCAAACCAGACATTCCACATAGGGAACTTCAAACTTTTGTGCTTGCCGTACTCCTCTATTATTAATTATTTTAAGGTAAGAACTAGAAGTATATATCAAGATATTACACCTAAATGAGTAAAAAGCCTTCACCAGTCTGCATATTACTTTATAATGGTTACTTACAAAAATCAAAAGATAGGTATTAAAGGGTAGGTATTAACATTTTATTGTAGCATACCTTTTATATGCTCTATTCCAAATTGTCACGAGAATTATAGAGGGGGTCCCAAGGTTTCTGCTTTTATATTCCCCAAAAATGACGAGCTTCTTAAAAAATGGTTGACAGCTATTAAAAGAGATAGTTTCACTTCTACTAGTAGTTCTCGAGTAAGAAGTGCATTAAATATGCCTCAAAAAGGCCAAAGGCCAAAGCCTCTGTTACCCTAGTGAGGATTTAGTTATGGCTACTGCTTACACTTACCTCACAAGATATTGACAACATTCACATTTGAAAATATAAATGGCCTGGATGTAAGTCTTTTTTTAGGTCACAATTGCCCCTCACATACGTCAGAATTTATACACCAAGTTTACACCAAGAGTATTTACCAAGGCTTTTACTAAGACAAGTAACTTCCTATACTGTCCATAATAGTATATATATTTATCAAACGTGCAGTAAATTCTAAACTATGGTAGGTAAGTGTTTGCAATTGAATATTTAGTTTATATTGCTATTTTCTGTCATATATTTCTGGTTATTTCTTTTTCCGATGATTTTGAACACCCTATATATGCTGCCTCAAGTTTGAATATTTACACTCTAGTACACTACCTACTTATTTTCTGAGAAATCAGACCTTTTTATAAAAAGTAACTAACTGATGTTTTCATAAAAGTAATAATACAAAAAATTCCATACTTATGTGGAGAGCTTTAGACTCCCTGTATATTAAAAAATTAGTGAAATATTACGTAATCTAACCCGACATTTGTGTGAAAAATGTCTATTTGGAAATAAAACAGGTTTTAAAATACGCGCCAAATAAAGCACTTCTATCTCCGCCATATTGGAAAAGGTTGAATTGCCTTGTGTGGAGGTGGTGGTGGGTCAGCATGGTGGCCCGGCCGTGTTGCCGCTTTTCAACATGGTGTGACGTATTAAAAATAAAGTGCGGATTTTTATTCTGGGCTTTTTTGTTTTTATTTATTTTCGAGAACGACTTCAAATTTTTCGAAAGTGAGATAGCAGAAAATTCTAGAATTAATTGCTTTATTCAATTATGCTAATTCCAAAATATAGTGAAAGAGCCCATTTTATGCAAAATTGTATTAGACTTTTTTGAAGAGGCGTTAAAGTTGTATTGTCGTCTAGAATTTCGTTTTATTTGGAATAGGCATCTAAAAGTTATTTACAAAAATCTAACTTCAAATTAATTATAATTCGAAATCTTCGAATTAATAATAATTTATAATACGGCCCCGTGAAATCTACAATTAAAATAACAGCAAAAATTTGATTTTGTTATTGTCAAATGCGATGTCACATTTTTCTTGTTTACAAGAATTTCTATGGTTTGAAAAAAGTGGTTAACTTTTTTCTGGATTTACTATTTCTGAATTTTATTAATTAATTTCTGATTTTCTGAATGATCATCTACAAAAGAATTAGTGGAGCTGAGAATAGTATTCGCGTTGTATGACTTGTTTGCTGTTTGTTACTCGATCACTCGCAAGCCTCGTTCATAACGAAATATTTACAGCACAAGAAACTTAAGAATTAATAAAATGTTTACATAATTCCCCATTCACAGTCAAACAATAAACCAAATGATTGTGAAATTCGCGCCTCACAATACAAAACTGTTAAGGGGAGAAGTTTTTAGTATTCCAGAATAGAATAGATATAGATATTTATAAGAATTTATAATATACGAACATAGATATACAGGGTTGTTCACCACATACGACACGGAGTATTGTAGCTAAACGATTAGATTTTTACAAATTGTAAGTTTTGGGTTCGTTGAAGGTCTATTAGAGCTACAATTTAAAAATATTTTTACAAGATACAGAGTGTCCCAAATAAGTAAAAAATATTATAGTTGTATTTTTTTAAATGAAACACCCTTTATATTATTCTACTTTTAGATTCTACAATTGAAATAAAGGTAAATTTGATTAAGGTTTATCACACTTAAACCTTACCGTTTTTGAAATATTTTCAATTTTATGAAAGTAAAAATTTTAAGGCTTTATTTCTCCCAGGGTATTAAAGTTTTTAATACTAAATATATACTGAAGATTATTTATTGATCAGATATTGTGGTGCAATAATAAAAATTTTACTACCTTATACAGAGTGTCCAAAAATTTATATTAAATAATGACTAGCTTTAAACGGCAATAACTTGTTTAATTTAAACGGAACACCCTATATATTTTACGTGAATCAGATGCACAATGTAATTGTCTATCAAATTGTATTATACAATTTTTAACCCATCTCTTGAAGTTTTCGTAGAAAATGCATTTTCTTATAATTTAGACCTCATTTATCACTATACCCATGGAATATTGACATTTCAGATTTTTTTATAGCACCATAATATGTACAAAATGTACAGGTGGTAAATATTGCAAGCCCATTGGCATACAAAAAAATATTTAAATCTTTGTAAAACAGTATACCAATTAAATATACCACCATTATTTCTTACAAAAAAACATCAAAAGTTAGTTAATTACATACTTGTAAATTGTTTTATTTTAGTTCTTTTTAAAATCAATATAATAATAAGTTATGAAAATGAATGTCTCTGTTTTTATAAATAAGCATTCGTCAATAAATGAAATAAAATTTATAAGGTGTTACTATTTACCACAGTGTCTAATACACACACAAAATTCAGTTTTTTAGTATTTGGAACAGTTATTACTTTGACGTAAACAATCAATTTAATGTAGTTTGAATACTGGGATCATATTAATTGGTCCTCTTTAACAAAAAATATTTAAACAGTTTTATTTTTATTTTTTAATTAAATAAGCAAACTATATCGACAATATTAGTATCTGTACCCTTTAAAAATTTGTTACATTGTTAAAAATAAGCTAAAATGTCAATATTCCATGGGTATAGTGATAAATGAGGTCTAAATTATAAGAAAATGCACTTTCTATGAAAACTTGAAGAGATGGGTAAAAAATGGAATAATACAATTTCACAGACAATTACACTGTGCATCTGATTCACGTAAAATATATAGGATGTTCCATTTAAATTAAACAAGTTATTGCCGTTTAAAACTAGTAATTATTTAATATAAATTTTTGGACACTCTGTATAAGGTAGTAAAATTTTTATTATTGCAACACAATATCTGATCAATAAATAATCTTCAGTAAATATTTAGTATTAAAAACTTTGATACCCTTGGAGAAATGAAGCTTTAAAATTTTTACTGCAAGTTCATAAAATTGAAAATATTTCAAAAACGATAAGGTTTAAGTGTGATAAACCTTAATTAAATTTACCTTTATTTCAACCGTAGAATCTAAAAATAGAACAATATACAAGGTGTTCCATTTAAAAAAATACAACTATAATATTTTTTACTTATTTGGGACACTCTGTATCTTGTAAAAATATTTTTTAATTGTAGCTCTAATACACCTTTAACGAACCCAAAACTTACAATTGGTAAAAATCTAATCGTTTAGCTATAATATTCCGTGTCGTATGTGGTGAACAACCCTGTATATTTAGAAGAATTTATAGTATTCCACAGAGATGTCTTGTTCAGCCCAAAATATTTTTTCATTCAAAATTTTCAGTCCAAATTTCTGTATTTAATATACCTATAAAAACGGTTTTTGAGTGTGCTTCACAGGAAGAAATCGTTTGGCGAAAGATCCTTTCCTACCATATCCCCAATAAACGGGAGTCAATGTTTTTCTTTTCTTTAAGATGAAGAATATTCAAGTCATTGTTATTTTTTTCCTGATCAATTATTTTGTCTTCACACTTCCATATGCTTAATATCTTAGTGCCTTTAGTTTCAAACCTCCGGTTTATTCTTTAAACTGTTGACTTATTCGGTATAGGCTTTTCGGAGACAGCTGCGAACATATCTCACACAGCGGGAATACTATTCCCAGCAAAATGCCGTTTAACCATCATAACTTTTTCAGCAGTTGTAAAATTCGTAATTATTTTATACAAAATTACTCTCTATTTGATATCTTCAATTTATTGTAATCAAAATGTGATATCAAATTTGACATTGACACAATCACATTTTTGCTGGTATTTTAACTGTAGCTTTCACTGGGCAGTATTAAAAATTTTAGTAATTTGAAAGTAGATTTGTGCAAATAAATTTTAAATGACTATTACAAATGAAACGAAATTCTACACAACTTTAACGCCTCTTCAAAAAAGTCTAATACAATTTTTGCTTAAAATCATCTGGGGATTTTAGGGCTTTTGGGATTTGGCCTTTTCAAAATTAACATGGGATTTCCTATGTCCCGTGTTCCGATGTACCTACTAAACGGTATTTCAGCTTACGTTAGAAGTTTCAAGAAAGCCAAAATATCCAACGAGTTTGGTTTGGGAACATTTCGAGATATTCAAAAAACATCAGAAAATATAATTTACGAGTGCATTAAAATGACAGACATAACTGTCACTGTCATATGTAGTTTAGTAATAAGTAAGTATAGTAAACACTATAGTTAGATCCTTTTTTACATATTATTATATTATTATACCGGGCGTTTCTCAAAAGTGTCTCACCCCTATAACTTTTTTATTTTTTTCAGATAAAAAACGACATTTGGTATGTTAGTATATGACATAAATTCCAGAATCCATTGACGTTATTAACTGTTTTCGGTCAATTCCTGTTTCACCGGAAATGACTACAACACGGGGGTGTCACTTGTATGGGAAAACAGGCAACAGTCAAATTTAAACGTGCCAGGACCAACGACAAAGAAAGCAACATCTGCCAGGCATTGGCTTTCTTTGTCACTCACATTGCTTAAATCATGATACCGCGGCCATTTTGCCAACAAAGAAGCTGACCGGGCTGTCCTGGCAAGTGATTTAAAACAATTTTGCTTTTACAATATTAAATTACCATTTGGATGTATTTAATGCGATTATTCAATTAACTGGTAAGTCAGAAATTACACACAAATACTTTATTCGTAAATACAACTAAGATGTAAACGTAGTTTTGTATTTTTAGATTTCAACTTTTGCAAAGACCCGCCGATAGAACTTGCCTGGCAGCGTACCTGTTTAACTAAACGTATTATTTCCTGATAATAATATCAAAACACGTAAGTACCTCTATAATTTATGATGACAAATGATTTTGATTATGTTTTATGTTATTTAAATACTTTCTAACCTCAAATAATAGTAAGATCCTTGTTTATATCGCACAGCCCGTTCAAAACTGTATTGTCTTCAAAAAATGTTTACAAAACAAACAATTATTACAAAAACAATGTCCTTTTAATCTGATTTATACCTCAGAAGGATGCCAGTAAAATTTTATTAAATCAACATTATATTATTTGGCCATTAATATCCAAAAAGGAGCATATTGCCTTAACTTAAATTTTCTTTTACTTCTCTTGACAATGTTCTCTATATTCTCTATTTTGAGTTAGTAAACTTTTGAACGGGATGTGCGATATATAAAATACATAATATATCCAAGGGTATGATCTGATAAAAGTATTTTTTGATGCATTTTTTGGTTTTTTATGCACGTTGGCTTGGTTTATGTTTTATTCAGCTTATATTTATTTGGTATAACAGCTTTTTTTTGCCTTTGGAATGGCGTGCATTGAGGCTAGATAGTGTTTCATTAGATCATTAAAGGAATTTAAATTAGCATATATTTTTTGTGATATTAGTGTATTATCATGATACAGGTAGTTGTATCATAGTGCCTTATGCATGTTATTTACCTATTATATACTTATGTATTATCAGTAAATAGATAATAATATACTACTAAAATGTCTTTTTAATAGTATGTTTATCTTTCCAATTCACTAGTTATTTGCAAAATGTATTTTGAACTAATTTAAGTCATTAATTGATCATCTTTCTTTTTCAGGTTCCGGGATATTGTTTTTCATTGTTAAAAATATATATATATATATGTATTTCAATATTATTGTAATATAAATCGCAGCTCTAAAAAATAAATGATATTGTTTACTAATGTGTAATTTATTTACTATGAATTTTCTCTGAAAATAATAAGCCTTTAATAATATCATTGATTTGCTGTGTAAAGTTAATAGACATATTTTTTAATACATTAAATTATATTAAAGTAATAAAAAATATGTTTATTAACTTTAAACAGTAAGTCAGTGATACTTATAAAAATATATTTTTTTTAATTTCCCCTCTTTTAAGCCCCGCCCCTCCAATTCCCCTCAATTTAGCTAGTACTGCCAGGCGACACCAGGTGGCGTCTGTTTCCATTTTTTAACATGAAGTTAGCATTTCTTTAATGTACCTATTCTCTGGACTACGACTTTTGATTTTTAAATGACACCCTCGATATTTTTTTAATTTATTCGACAAAAAATGACACTCTGAATAGAATAACATATCATATGTCAACTTTTGACATTTTTACTAAAAAATTGTATTTTAGTAGGTATTAGGACACTTGAGACAGACAGCCACTTCCGGTCCAGACACCGAATTCCAGGAACCCAATCAGATAAGAACATATAAAATACGTTAATAAATAAGGATAAACAGGTTTGAACCGCGGTGAACCGCTTTAGAACAAAAATAGACATGTTTGAACAAACAATGAACAGGTCTGTTGTTTTAAACTAAAAGCTGTTCGGGCAGTTCAAAAGCGGTTCACCCCGGTTCAAACCTGTTTATCCTTATTTATTAACATATTTTATATGTTCTTATCTGATTGGGTTCCTGGAATTCGGTGTCTGGACCGGAAGTGGCTGTCTGTCTCAAGTGTCCTAATAAATACTTATTTTAAATTTCAATCTAGAGTGCCATGGCCGTGTTAAAACACTATTTTTTAATAAAGGAGCCTTGGAAAAATAGATTTGATCGTCTACCGTTTTTCGTGTCTTGTTCTGGCCGGTTAAAAGATAACCAAATCGTATTTTAATCATATTTTTAAACAATTTCATATTTTTAAACATTTATTTAAACAATTTTTTCAAATGAAACGAGGGTGGCTCATTAATATATTTAAAAAAAGCACATTTTTAGGAATATTTTGGTAACACGCACTTGGTATTTTCTTTTTTTATTTTAAGTGACCGAAAACAACTGAATACGTACCAAATCTCGTTTTTTATCTGAAAAAATAAAAAGTTATTATATGAATGAGCCACTTTTGAGTAACGCCCGGTATATTATATTTTAAAATGATTTGCTTTAAGTATATTGAATATCAAAAGGTGGCAAATAGTACAACATATTTATTATTGCAATAAAAATACAAGTTCTTACAGAGGCACTACCAGCGGCGCATCTAGAAATTGAGTCTGAAAAGGGTAGTGACAAGTGGCAAGTATCAGATTAAAATTAAATTTACGCTAAAAGGTATTGTCTGTGGTATTGTCACTGTAGAATAAAAATATGTAACTTGGATTTACCTGAATTTTCTATTTTTGTTTGTATTGTTAATTTCAACTATTTTATACCACATTTTACGTTATTTATAAATTACATTTTGGGAAGGGTAATTACCCGCAATACTCCTCCCGTATATGAGCTACTGGGCACCACCTACAGGGTGGCTCATTAGTGCGAAGAAGTCCAATATCGTGGTTGTTGTCGAAAATATGAAAAAATGTTTTTATACAGATGTTGAATGGTTTATAATGATGCATATCTTAAAAATATTTTGTTGTATACAGGGTTTCACAAAAAAAGTTATGATAATTTTTTTTTTAAATTGCACCCCTTATTTTTCCGTAGATAGTTTTTTTCAGCATAAAATTCTGCATATTGTACACTATTTTTATTTGAAGCACTATGCGGTGTGCCATTTTATTTCTCATTTACTAAAACTTCGGTTAAAAACTCTATACCGGATGCGTCTCAAAAGTGGCTCACACCTATAACTTTTTTATTTTTTCAGATAAAAAATTGAGATTTGGTATGTTAATATATGACATAAGTTAGGACTGATTGACGTATTCAATTGTTTTCTGTCACTTCCTGTTTCGCCGAAAATGACTACAACTTTTGATTTTTAAATGGTACCCTCGATTTTTTGTTGCTTTATTCGATAGAAACTGATACTCTGAATAGAATGACAGATCATATGTTAACTTTGACATTTTCGCATATGATTTATTTGAAATTATAACATGCGGTTCATAACGATAATTTGACTCGAAATACCAAGTGTGTGGTATCAAATTATTCGTAAAAAAATGCTTTTTCCAAATATGCTAATGAGCCACCCTCGTTCCAGTTGAAAAAAATGAGATGTGATTAAAAATACGATTTGGGCATCTTTTAACCAGCCAGGACAAGACACGAATAGCATTAGACGATCAAATCTATTTTTCCAAAACTCCTTAATTAAAAATTAGTGTTTTTAACACAGTCATGGGACTCTAGATTGAAATTAAAAATTCAATTTTGTTTTAAACAAAAATGCCAAAAGTTGACATATGATATGTCATTCTATTCAGAATGACATTTTCTATCGAATGAAGTAAAAAATACCGGGGGTGCCATTTAAAAATCAAAAGCTGTACTCATTTCCGGCGAAACAGGAATTGACAGGAAACAAATGAATATGTCAATCAATCCTAATTTATGTCATTTACTAACATACCAAATCT